CCATTCTTCCTAAAGTAAGACTCCCCTTCACCTTCCCTCCCTCCCTCCCTCCCTCCCTCCCTCCCTCCTTCTCTCCTTCCCTCCTTCCTCCTTCCCTCCCTCCTCCTCCCTCCCTCCTCCCCTCATCTTCCCCTTCCTTCTCTCCCCCTTCCTCCTCTTCCTCACACTTCTTTACCCTCAGCTTGGCGATCGCGCAATCGACCGCACAGACGAGCCGCTCATCGACTGTCGGGTCGTTTCATCGCGCCTTCACTTCACGACCTTCTGCTCTGAGCACAATCTCTTCTTTCACTCAGTCGCACACGCTCAGCTCTCAACCATGACGCTCTTGCACGAGCTCTTCAAGCAGCGAGTCAAGATGTCGGATACTGGAGCAGAGGACAGGGAGGATGGTCAGGGCAGCTCGAAGGGCAAGCACGACAACACGGGAAGACAGGGGACAGGAGGAGGGCAGAGCACAAAAGCGACAGAGCACGAGAAGACGGAGGAGGGGGAAGGAGAGACGAGAGCCAAGGGGGAAGAGGAAGACGCTGCGCATGATCAGGTGACTGAGCGGAAGCTGGAAGGCTACCTTCTTACCTTATCAAAGACTCTGCTGGAGCACGAAGAGGAGGAGATGACAGAGCACGCTAGGTAAGGAGGGGTCCTTCTACTCCCACTGTCTCTTTCTGATCCCCTTGATCCACCACCACCACCTCCTCCTCCTCCATCACCATCATCATCAACACCACCTCCTTGCTCTCCTCTCCCTCTCCCTCGTCCTCGTCCTCGTCCTCTCCCTCGTCCTGGTCCTGGTCTTCTCCCTCGTCCTCGTCCTCGTCCTCGTCCTCGTCCTCGTCCTCGCCCTCCTCTCACTTTCTTGTGCAGGACTCTTTCTTTCCTCCCGTCAGCCGCTCACGACCAGACCAGCAAACCCAACGACGACCTCAATCATCTCGACCATGTTGACTCTCCCCCTCCTCCCTGTCCCCTCACTCCCCAGCTCCTTCCTCTATCACCATCCCTGCCCTTTCTGCCCCTCCCCCTCCACTTCCTTCTTCATCTGTTTCTTCTGCTGCTATAAACCCTTCCCGTCCTTCCCCCTCCTCCTGCCCCTGTCCTTCCCCTGCTACTTCTGCTCCTGCGTGCTGATATTGCTCTTCCCAGTTTGAAGTTGAAGTTCACTTCGACCCCTGGCTCAACGACGACTGGCATTCGACTGATTGATATTCTTTTCATCTTCTAACTTCATTGTTTCCTTCTTGTTATTTCCTTGTTATCTCGCTATTCATTTTCATCATTAAATCATCAACTTCATTGTTATTCTCTTCATCTTCTGACTTCATCATTGCTTGTTGTCATCTCTCGATTCGTTTTCATCATTCAATCTTCAACTTCAATCAAACTAGCTCAAGTGGCGAAGGCGCGCGATTCATAAACCTGGCAAACATTCATCAGTCGCAAACCGTTCTCACCAATCTCGTCTCATCTCACTTGTCAACATCTTTCGACCTGCTTTGCTGAAACTGATGGCAGATCTGGATCACATGTAAGTGTTGATGTTCTCTGACTCCTTTTTTTCCTCACCTGCCAGTTTTCAACTTGCATATCATACATCATGCTTTCAATCTGCGAACCTCATCAGTGCACGTCTCAAACCATCGTAAAACTTCACATGTTTCCGCATGAAACCATCTGAGGAGACAACCGGAATCTGAAACATGTTGATGATTGCAAAATAACAAGTCATGCCTGTTACCTCACAATGATCCCGCATGATGCGACATCGAATCGAATCTGTGAGGGTGAAAGCCATCCAATCCTACTCCCACAATCTCATTACACAAGTTTCAACACAGACACAAGGGCAACACCAGAGAAGGAGTGATTCTTCTCTTCGGCAGCATTTCTTCTATCGATTCAAACTGTGGTTCAGTCTTGAACAGCGATGTCAATATCCAACGTGTCTATTAGATCATAGACCTTGTGTAGCTGTTTCAAAACTTTGGCGTTCAAATACTTGTAGTTGACTTGATAATCAGCCTTCCTCATGTTCTCCTTCTCGCTCAACCTTTCTCGCTTTGCAATTTTGACTTGCCCGCTTGCGCTGCTAGTTTGATGCTGGGATGTTTTCATATGTGTGTTGTTTCCTTTGCCTGGCGACCCAATCTTCGATGGCGCTTCGTGTGTCTCATTTCGAGATAAATTCGAAGAACTCTCCCGACATTTCCTGTCGTGCATACTTGTATGTAATTTCCTGCAAAATGAAGTCACTTCCTACATCCTTCAATTCTCTTTTAGAAAGACAGGAACAGCACCGATGGCGAACAGGTTCGACCATGGCGTCGAGGAGCGTTTGCTTCAATTCTTCATTTTCACGCACGAGTTTCGCTCTTCCTCTCTCTTCTGCTGGAGTTCTGTGGGTCTTCGTCTCAAGAGGAGGTTGTATCGCCACAGAGGAGCGAATGAACGCATCCAGCGCCGCATCGTACCCTCCACTGCCCAGCATTTCGCCCACAATCAAAATGTCTTGATGTTCGTGGGTAGGGGGTCATATCCCTACCCTCTCTTATTGGCTCATAATTGCATGATAATATGGGGTACTATCAGAATCAGTACGGGTGGCATACTAGGAGAAAGATTTGACCAGAAACGGTCATTGTGGTCAAATCTACCGGGCCCCCCGCCGACCAGAGCCAGCAAAGGCACATCCCCGCTCATACCCACCTTCCTCTACAGAATTTCTGCTCAGACTTGCGCTCTACCTGCTCTACACTACCTGCTGCTCTGCCTGCTCTACCTGCTGCTCTACCTGCTGCTCTACCTGCTGCTCTACCTGCTGCTCTACCTGCTGCTCTACCTGCTGCTCTACCTGCTGCTCTACCTGCTGCTCTACCTGCTGCTCTACCTGCTGCTCTACCTGCTGCTCTACCTGCTGCTCTACCTGCTGCTCTACCTGCTGCTCTACCTGCTGCTCTACCTGCTGCTCTACCTGCTGCTCTACCTGCTGCTCTACCTGCTGCTCTACCTGCTGCTCTACCTGCTGCTCTACCTGCTGCTCTACCTGCTGCTCTACCTGCTGCTCTACCTGCTGCTCTACCTGCTGGAAAAGAGAGGAGAAGGAGAAGGAGAGCAGAGCAGAAGAAAGGAGGAGGAGGAGAGGGGAGGGGAGGAGGAGGAGGAGGAGGAGAACAAAAGAGAAGAGAGAAGGAGAGGAGAGGAGCAGGAGAGGAGAAGGAGAAGGAGAGGAGAAGGAGAGGATAAGGAGAAGGAGAAGGAGAAGGAGAAGGAGGGGAGAGGAGCAAAGAGGAGATGCTGCGCGGGACAACATGAAATATTATTCGGAACGGCAGGAAAGGAGGAGAGATGATAGATAGAGCAAATAGTGAGGGACCATGAGGAGGTAGACGAGGTAGAGGATACACGAATTGTTTGCGATATGTCTCTCCTCATCTTACTCTCCTTTGTTGCATGTTCCACATTTTGCTCTTCCCTCTCTTCTCCTGCTCGTCTCTACCACCTGGCACTCCCCCGCAATCTGCGACAGCGATGCTACATCCGCTGACAACTCTTTTTCCTTCAACACCTGCCCTTCAACTTACAGTATGGTATCCTACTAAATATCCGCGCTACTATGATTTCCATTTGTTTCTCATGCTGTTCCGAGGCAATTGCGTTTTGTAATCACTCAAAGATCCATGGCCGAGGAGTGTGTGTGTTTGTTTGTTTCTCATCGAGTTGATCCTGCAAGAATTCTCTCAAGGGTTGCACCATCACATTGAAAGTGTTGTTTTTAGCTGTGATAGGATTGTGTGGTTTGCCCTGTCATAGTGCAGTGTGTAGCAAAGGAGAGATAGATAAGCGCTCCAGTCATGTTGGAATGTAACTTCTGACTCATCAAACTCCAGGATGAAGCGTGCTCCGGTGAAGAATAGATACTTTCACTCTCCAACAGAAACTTCAAGGCCTCGATCTCATGCTGATGAGAACTCTTCTTTGCAAACCAGCTCGAGCCTCCGTCGTGCTGAAGTCGAGGCAGACCAGGTGTCGCCAGGGCCGGCCAGGAAGAAAGTGCCGAGCGCAGCGAAAAGTTGCAAGGGCATGAAATCCTCGAGGAAGAATTCAAAGTCTAATGACCCTTATGAAATCATCACCCTGGATTTCACCCCTAGGGAACTGGACGGCTGGCTTGTCTGCCCTCAGGGTGACCGGGGCCGGAGTCGCCAGACTGACGCTGATCTCTGTGACGGGATGGGGCCCGCCTCGGATGTCAACCATGTCACAGCTGCAGAATCCTTGACATCAGTTGTCTACAAGCCCTCCAGGTATCATACGAGTGCGCGTGTGCCGAGCAAAGTGGAGCAGTACTCGGTCTCACGACCTGAGACGAACGTGGAGTACGGGAGTGAGATTCTCCGAAGGGTTCTCGACATTTTCGACCCCAAGGACGGGCAGTGGAGGAGAGGAGTAATTACCAAGTACGACTGGAGGACCAGGAAGCATCACGTAGTGTACGAGGATAAGGAGAAGGCCTTCCTCAACCTCCACGAGCACACGATCCGGTGGGTCTTTGTGCAGTATCGACCTCCTGCTTCGACCGTCCAGAAGGCGCCTGCACACTTCCAAGTCAAGAGTAGAGTGGAAGCGCAGGATAGGGAGGGCGACTGGTATCGAGGGACGGTGGTGAACATCAACGTGCTCAAGACTGAAGTACTGTGACTGTCTCTCTTTGCGCTCCCGTGACGTTCGCTTCTGTTAGGTGAAGGTGAACTTTGATGGGTGGAACTGCAAGTGGGATGAATGGATCCCAATCTCAAGCGGTCGCGTCCGTACGATCCAACATCCGGACGCTCTCAGTATCCGGCGAGATGGGTCCCCCGTCTACTTGTGCTCCAAGATGAAAGTCGGCAAGGAGATCGAAGCTCAGGACGTGGAGGGCGGATGGTACCGAGCGAAGGTGGTGGAGAAGAATGACGCTAGGAACATGGTGAGAGGATCGAAGGAGGGATGATGATGATGTGAGGAGGGAGGAGGGAGGAGGGAGGAGGGAGGAGGGAGGAGGGAGGAGGAAGGAGGAGTAAGGCGTGTCGCAGGTGTGTGTCAACTTCAAGGACTGGCCGCCCAAGTGGAACGAGTGGATTCACGTGGACAGCGGGAGAGTGCGAGATATGCTCTACCCTGATGCCGTGGGCATCACAAGGGACGGGCGACCTATCTGGAAGGAGGAGAAGAGGAGGAGGAGCGAGGAGGGCAGCGAATATTCTGCCGGGTCCCCTAGGAAGCGATCATGCCGCAGCAGACAGGTGCCTTACCAGACTGTGGAACGTTCCAGCAGGCGCGGAGGAGGGAAGGTAGGAAGGGACTGCGCGTGCTCTGATCGCCTGACTATGTTGGCAGCCGCTGACTGTGGAGGCGCCGATGCCGCCAGGGACAAACGGCGAGGAGCAGGAGAGGAGGGTGAGCGATTACGAGCAGAGGAGGCTGTGCAACATCGACAGGAACCTTAAGATGCTTCAGTACATCGACCGCATCAACACGTGACAGCTAGGAAAAGACCTCGTGTGAAATAAACCTTGCTTTCGTCCCCCCTTCACTCCTCCCCCGGCTCCTCCTCCTCCTCCTCCTCTGTCTTCTGCTTGCACTTCTGACAATCTTGGAGACAGTCTTCAATTTCCTGCACCTTTCAGTCCGCTCGAAAATTCGTGTGCGATCTCCCAACCCCTTCAGTCCTCATATCTTGCGAATCGCCTTGGCATCCCATTTCAAGTTGACACTGTGCTTGGCCTTGGGATTGATTCCCGTCTCTTCTCCTACGTATCCTGGAGGGACGTCAATTACCAAAGTAGATGCGAGCGCTGGTGTACCATGCTCCTTCTCGGTCCTGACTTTCCTTGTCTTTCCTCGAGCGCGGATGATGAGGTTGTGGTACTTATGGCGGAGGCTAGACGACAGTGAGCGAGCAACAAGAGGTAGAGAGGACAAGGAAAGCAAGGAGACAAGGGTGAAGAAGATGGCTCGAAAGCGAGAGGGGAGGAAGACGCAGTAGAGCAGGGAACAAGCTGCTAGCGAGAAAGAAAGAGCACCGTAGCCTAGGATTGCTATCCCGGCGATTTCGATATCTTCTCTTCACTCCCACTGTGTTGGTCAGCATGCCATATGACGCGGGTCGTCGTCCTCCTTCTAGGAGCACCGTCCCTTCAATCCGTTGATGCTGATCCTCCCCACTCCTCTTCATCTCTGCTGCTTTTGCGATTTCCGACATCTGTTGGAAGTACTCCTGCATGCAAGCAGTAAGAAGATTTGCCCTACAGCATGTGGAGAAAGGAGAGTGCGAACCAGTCGTTCAGCCTTGTATTGCTCATCCTGCAACAGAGTCATCCCATGTCGCCTCCTCTCCCTCTCCTCACCGTGTTCAGTTCTCGCTTGTCCTCTCTCACGATCATGTGCAGCTGCTTTGCCTCCTTGAGCTTTCGCCGCCAGAACTGCGAGCCCTGGAGCAAGGTGAGGGAGCAGCCGTGGTATAGTGATCGCACCTTGTCCAACGCAACGGTCGGGTCTAGATCTTTACTCTCCAGGGCTTCCTCGAACCTTTCTTCCTTCTGCAACTTGATCTGAACAGACAACGGCAGTCACACGAGAGTGTTCAAGTCTTCTAAGTGCTCATCTCACATCTATCTCATCCATCCTTCTGTCTTGCGACGTTGACTTGACGGCTGGAGTGCTTGAGGCGACATGTGAGCATTTGTTTCCCTTCTACCCTCTCTTACCTTGGCTTCTTTTTGATTTTCACTCGTTTCGCTCGATTGCTTCCAATCTACAAACAAGCATGTCAGTGCAAAGACAAACAACAATATGGGCAGGAACGACGGGAGACAAGAAAAAAAAGTCTCACATTTGCGAGCATTTCTTGTATTTCTGTTGAGAATTGGGATTCAAAAGTTGCGATCACCTATTGGAGTGGACATTCAGACAAGACAAGGGAAGAGAAGGGAGTTGAGGTAACGAAAGGAAACGAGAGGTGAAAGGAAAGGAAGGATTAGGAACGAAAGGAAACGTGACCAAGGGAAGGGAAGGGAAGGGAAGGGCAGGGAAGGGAAGGGAAGGGAAGGGAAGGGAAGGGAAGGGAAGGGAAGGGAAGGGAAGGGAAGGGAAGGGAAGGGAAGGGAAGGGAAGGGAAAGCGAAGCGAAGCGAAGGAGTTCAGGCTCCCTTTATACCTTCAACTCTGACCACAACAAGTTCAGATTCTCCAGGAACTTACGCGATTCCCCAGAGTCCTTGGAACCTTCCATCTTCATGATGACATAACCCTTGCATAACTGATCAGGAGCGGAACAAACATATTCGTCCTCACTTGGATGTTCTCGACAAACTTGGTCAATGCAGAGTATTTCATGAAGAGAATGCTCTCCGGCGCTGACATGGACTTGATATCCCTACGTGTCTCACGTCAAGTAACACTCGCGTCCAAGTCGCTAACCTTGACAGCAACTGCAAGCACATCACCACAGGCTCAACAAACTCTCTTATCGTGTTGCAAGCTGATTGCATCTCGTCGAGCAGCCTCGACAGCCTTGCACATCAACGTCAAGAACAGACGGGAAACGAAGTAACTTCTCACCCCTCCGGTCGGCTCACAGCCTCTACATCGTCGCCGAACAGCATCTCAAGGTAGGTCTGCGGAGCCATCCTGCCTTCCTCCTGCCTCCGCACGTCACCGGCATCCGCAAGCACCTGAACCTCTGCTCTCCTTCACCTCGAGAGGCTCCCCGCGACTCTCAGAGTCAGGAGGAAATTCATCTGAGAGCTCAGGGGCTTGAAGAGCTTCTTCGAAATCGATCGCCTTGGACGGTTCTTTGATCTTTTCGACTATTCGACGAGCTTCTTTCTCCTGTGCCTCGTAGAATATCTCCCTCTCGGCCTGGATTTCACCCAATCACACTCTACACGAACAACAAGTCCGGATCAACCTCGTCGGACGGTACAGAATCATCTCCGTAAAGGTCCTCGTCCTTGGCTCCTGCTTGCCATACGACGTCATCAGAATCATATGGTTCCTGTTCCCCAGCTTGCGGCTTGCGGCGCGGAGTCTTTTCCTTCTGCTGCACCCTTCCCTTCGACTTCTGCTTCCTCCGGGCGTCCGCTCTTTTCGCCAGTCGCTCATCCGCGAGTCTCTGCTGTTTGACCTCTCTGAGGTTCTTATACTTGAGCTTTCCTCCTCTCAGCCTCAAACATTGCCCTTCACGTGCCCGGACATCGAGAGCGTCTCGACTCCCATGCCTCAAGTCAGGTACGATTATCCGAGACGTGTCGCCTCCAAAGGCAACGACGAAGAGACATGAGGAGAGGAGCAGCCTTCGATGCACTCGCATCTCGCTATGCCATGGAAGGGCGGGCGATGGCAACCAGCACCTGACCATGAAGTGAGGACGATTGTTCGCACTCGTTAAAGCAACACAACAAGCGAAAGTTCAACGTGCCCTCCTGCCTCACTTCACACGGCAGAGCCACTGGGGTCAGTCTCCTCTTGATCCCGAGCTTCTTTCACCCTGTCTGCTCATCATCCCTCCCCCTCCTCCTCGTTACCCTCTCATTCTTCCTCTTCTCTTCTCCTCCCCTATCGCCTGCGCCATTGCAGGAAATCCGTCCCGCGATTGCCTGGAAGGGGGTGGTCTATTCATTCACTCATAAGGTAGGGTACTCTTGTTAGATCTAGAGGGTGGGGGTATGCACCCCACCCTCCTTGCCCTCCCTAGTCATGTTTGTGGGGAAACTTGCGCCCGGCATTATGCATGGCGAGGTGGAGGAGGCGAGGAGGGAGGGAGAGGAGGAGGAGAGGAGTAAGAGGAGGAAGGCAACGGAATGAAGTGAAGAAGGATGGGGAGTGTGAGAGATGAGCAGGTGAGAAGGAGAGAAGCCGAGTGAGATTGGCTGGTGGAGCGAAAATGATACAGGAAAGCATGAAATAACAGGCGGACAGTCATGCTGTCACACTGTTTGAAACGCCTTCCTCACATCCTCGAACCTGCAAAGAGCTGGAACATGCAGACTCTTGAGATCTGACAGCATGGACGTCTCCGGGCCAAATATGAGCCTGACAACAACTGTGTTGATTGTTTTGAGCTGTCTTGGTTTGATCTCGGCTGGTCAATCTTGTCAAGGCCGTATGATGAGCACAGCAAGACCAGCACATCGCATGTCGCTTCATCGCTTGGATCCGCTGCTCTCTCTCCCTCTTCTCTCACGGACTACCATCACGTTGAGGGGAGGGAGCGATCGGATCGGAGAAGATCAAGAAGACTCAGAGCCACAGGTTAATCCTCCTGCTCCTGCTCCTGCTCCTGCTCCTGCTCCTGCTCCTGCTCCTGCTCCTGCTCCTGCTCCTGCTCCTGCTCCTGCTCCTGCTCCTGCTCCTGCTCCTGCTCCTGCTCCTGCTCCTGCTCCTGCTCCTGCTCCTGCTCCTGCTCCTGCTCCTGCTCCTGCTCCTGCTCCTGCTCCTGCTCCTGCTCCTGCTCCTGCTCCTGCTCCTGCTCCTGCTCCTGCTCCTGCTCCTGCTCCTGCTCCTCCTGCAGCTCACCTCCCTTCCTCCTCCTCCTCCTCCTCCTCCTCCTCGCGCTTCCCTTGACCTCAGGCTCCATCAGGATGCGAGGATTGAACGGCGAGCCTGGTTTCTGCGCGCGTTCTGCTGCTGTTTTTGCGGACAATGGCAGATGCTCTCTGCGCAGCAGCGAGAGAGGCAGCAGGTGAGGAGCAGCTTATGAGATCGAGCTGGAGTGAAAGTTTGACGCAGAAACTTGAACGGGAAGAGGAGGCGGTCAGAAAGATAGCAGAGCTCTACGGTCAGATGTTTGCCAACACGAGATTCGAGTTGTTTGCTACCTATGGGTTTGCTGTCAGTGGTGATGGGATCATGCAGATGGAGCCACGTGCTTGCAGGAGGAGTGAAGGTGGCGGCTGAGATGGAGAGGCAGCTTGTGAGCAAGCTCAATGTGAGATTTCTTGCTTTTTTCCTTCTCTCCCTCGTCCTCCCTCGTCCTTCTCCCCTCCTGCTCCAGCACCTGATGGTTCTTGAACCCCAGCAAGTGATGCGCAACACTGTCCTGAATGCTGGAGCTGTGCTGTTCCCTGACCCGACCAGCGTATGGAGGATCTTCGACGAGAATTTCACTCTTGACATCGATCTTGACATCTTCCCGGACGCAGCATCTAACGAGTCGATGAGTGAAGTGCCAAGTGATGACAAGAGCATTTATGTGTGCAGCAACAGCACGTGCGAGGGGAACTGCAGCAACCAAAGCCAAGACAACACGATCCTTGGAGGAAATCCGTCAGAGTTGACTGAAAGTCCTGAATTCTTCAAAGATCTCGAGCAGTGGTTGAGTTTTGCCATAGCAGGTGGGTGTGACACGTTTTGACTGTTGATGCTAGATACGAAATTCCTCCCTCCCTGATTGTATTTCCTCAGTCTATGGCTGGAAGATGCTGTCTCTAATCCAGCCGCACGAGTTTCATCGGCACACGAAATTTCGATTTGACGACCTGACGAGCTTCTGTTCATACTCAAACGTACATCCTTCCCTCATCCTCCAGGTGAGAATCGTTTCTTACGCTGCCCTCCTCCCTCACTCTCAGAATTGCAGCATCGTGGCAGCGCCGAGACCTTCGCCCCTGCCTACATCGTCTTCCGACACCCACCCTCGGACTCGATCGTCGTTGCGGTTCGAGGTTGAAGGAGCGGCAGCTGCGTGAAGAGGATGAATCTTGTGTGGTGCAGGCTCTTTCGAGGCAGGGGATATCCTGACGGATCTAGTCGCCTGCTCCTCCCCCTTCCAAGATCGATCCAACCGTTGTCGGGGACATGTTCACATGGGAATTTTTCGGGCCGCGGAGGAGATTTGTTCTCAGATTCGTCAAACGATTCTCAGCTCTCTCATCAAGTGACTGACCCTCAATCTACCGAGGTTGACTGGTCTGGATGACTTTCCTCGCAGGGGTGAAGGCAGCAGAATCGTCTTCACCGGCCACAGTCTGGGTCTCATTTCGTTACCGCAGCGAGTGATTTGGAGGGTTACTCGTGTTGGCAGGAGCAGGAGTCGCTGCCATCATGGTTGCAATCTTTAAGTTTTGCGAAAGAGATCGTGAGACAGCGTCTGGCATGACCTTCTGCTGATCCTTGACAGGCCGTCTGTCATGCGCGGACATCCGGGCCTTCTGCTTTGCTTGTCCTCCTGTCATGGACATGGTCTCCTTGCCGCTAGTGCTCATGGAACGCTGACGTTGCTCGCAGGAGCTGGCCAAGACTGTCCGACACCAAGTGAGGGAGGAGGGAGGGAGGGAGGGAGGGAGGGAGGGAGGGAGGGAGGGAGGGAGGGGAGGGGAGGGAGGGAGGGAAGGAGGAAGGGAGGAACGGATGGACGGAGGAACGGATGGACGGAGGGAACTAGGAGAGCTATCGCTTCTCATCCCTTGACTCAGATCGTTACATGCATCGCTGGAGATGACGTGGTGTCTCGGCTCTCCTACCGGTCGATCAAGACCATGAAGTCTGCTGTCTTGAAGCCGATCCTCGAGCTCCAGAGCAAGGGCAGCAGCGCTCCCTGCTCCTCGTCGAGGTGGCTGAACCCAGTGGAAGCAGGTCAAAGAGACCTGGGCGAGGATCTCAGCCAGAACAAGACGCTGTCCCAGGAGGTGGAGGAGATGATTATGGATAGTGAGGTAGAGCAGACGCTGAGCTGCTTGCAAGACATCTGATGCTGACGCAGGCAGCCAACATGGAAGCACACCCCCTGTTAGTTCCTGGCATGATCTTCGCACTGAGACCAGCCCCGGACACAGGTCCCGGCTCTCCAGGCACTTGACGTCGCTGACTTGAGATGAAGATGCGAGGAGGCGCGGAGGATCGAGGAGATGCTCCTCTCTGTGCTCCTGCCTGCCGTGCTCGTCCTTTTCCCACGGTCCCTTGCTCCTTGTCCGAGTCAGTCTGACCTTCTCGCAGCTTTCAGCAGGGACTCTGAATGTTACTTCATGCAGAGCCTTGAGCCCACTGACCCTTACCTGGTCGACATCGTCCTGTCGGAGAGGTCGGTGGCTCAAACATGAGAGCAGGTCTGACTTGAGGTACAGGATGTTCCTGGATCATTTCCCATCCGTCATTCAGCATCGGCTGAGGTGGCTCAAGAGGGACCGCAGCTTCAGCCCTTGCTCTAGGATCTACTCGTGATTTGAAAGTTTGATCCTCCTCTTTCTGTTCCGCCTCCTCCTGCTCCTCGTCCTCCTGCTCCTCGCCCTCCTGCTCCTCGCCCTTCTGCTCCTTGTCTTCCTCCTTCTGCTTCTTCTGCCCCTCGTCCTCCTGCTCTGTTCCATGCTCCATGTTCTCTCTCACTGTTCATTTTCTCTCGCCTCCCTCGCCCTTCCGAACTTCAAGGCTACCGTACTCAATCTCTGCCTACGCCATAACACCGACTACTACTTCTACTATCCCACCGACTTCCACTAACACTTTCTACTGTAACAAACACCGCTGTTTTTTAACTCAGTATACTATAACACATTACCATAACATCGCTGAGTATGACACAACTACCAGCACACCGAGTACTAACATAACCCTGACAACCTTCTACTATCTGAGACTCTCTTCGTTCATGGACAACTCAACATGCACCGGCTCTGCCTGCGTCTACAGTACAACTACCGTACTAGCAACCACAAACATGTTGTATCCTCCCTTTTGTTTTATCCTTTTTTTAATGTTTTACACATCACTCTCAAAACCGTTGAGAGGTTGTCAACAATGGCAAGGGGGGCAGAAGGGAAGAGCGTGAAGGCAGCAGACTCCCATCTCGCCACCACCACCTCCTCCTTCCATGACGACATGGCAGTCTTGTCAAGGCGGCTGCATGCTCGACAGCTGCGGCTGCAAGCACTGCAGAGGATCAGAGATCATTCACTCCTCCTCCTCGGCTCCTCGTCGCAGCACCTGACACAGGAAGAGTTCGAAAGCAAGTACAGGCAGAGAAGTCTGAACCTCTTCCTCGACCAGGTGCTCCCCCTCCCTCCCTCCCTCCCTCCCTCCCTCATCTCTGATCCTCTGCAGTGCTTGCAGCCGCCGCTGTCGAGCATGGAAGCCGCCTTGACAAGACTGCCATGGTTGTCATGGAAGGAGGAGGTGGTGGGTGGCGAGATGGGAGTCTGCTGGCCTTCACGCTCTTCCCTACGGGCCCGCCGTGGCCATAGTTGACAACATCTTAAACGGGCTATAAGAGTGATGTCGTAAAAATATGCACAAAGGGATAAAACCAAAGGGAAGGATTAAAACTGTATGTGGTTGCAAGTACGGTAGTGACTGTAAACGCCGGGCAGAGCCGGTGCTTGTATAGTTGCCAATGACCCAAAGCACACCCACGATAACAAAGGGATGTCAGGGGTTACGATAAAACCCAGGTGGTGCCAGGTCGTTGT